TGATATACTATATATATATATATATATATATATATATATATATATATATTGTGATAGAACATACCATTGCTAGGCAACGCTTCAGTAAACACATTCTCAAGGCGAAGCAGTTTCAAGTCCCTAAACACAAGTTCCGTTGCATCGAAAGAGAAATTAAAGTATTCCCGTGACGGAGGGACTATGACAAATGAACCGTTTGTGTTGGTGACCTATATTCGGGCCGCCTGGAAGTTAATTATTTAATAGATTCATTCGAAAGAGAGTTCAACGTGTGGCTAGGAATTCTTCGATCGCCATTCGTCACAGTGGAAGGGAAGACTCTCGTGGTCCAGCAAGAAATGGAGCAAGTCGCAGACATTTCATTGGTTGTGAGCTGTCACAATTGACTGTAATTGTAAAGAAGTGCCAATCAATAAAATCATCGAAAACATTACCCATTATTATTATTCACGCTAATCCTGATACATGACAATATATATTGATTAAGACTCCTTATTACAGAAAGAAACGCCTGTTATTACATAAGTACACATAAGCTTAAGCATAACCATTTGCATCTGAATTACTAAATCGATCCAAAGAAATCTAACGACTCTCCAACATTAACTACCTAATATCACGTACCACAATATGTCGGTTTGTGAGCATCAGACCACACGTTCCTCTTACACACACAAACTGCTTCTACCTCTGTATATACATACCGGCCAGGCTTGAAATAATGACCACCCTTCCACGTGATTTTCTGAGAAGAGGAAGAAACGCATTCGTTACAGCAACAGGGCCAAAAGTGTTCACATCAAACACTCTCTTGACGGTCTCTACACTCATCCACTCCATGTTACCAACCGTTGCAATGCCAGCATTGTTCACAACAGCCCACAGCGCTAGATAACAACAGTAAATTACTCATACGTTCTGTTCAACATTTCAATCCGAACACACCCAAATTAACAATAACTAACAATCACAATCTGTAGCCTGAGCGCCCCTTTACCAGAGCCACAGACACTCCTCACCCAGCTTCCATGCACCTACAGCCCTAGTCCCTGCCTCTGTAAGACCCGTCTCAATGTTAACAGAGCCTCTTCCTCCGCCTTCGGAACGGATCTGTTTCATTTAGTCACACCTATTGTGATTACTCGCTGAATGTGATTTCATACCAAATTCATATTCCCAGTTATCTCTATGCACTTAATTATACAATAGTTTTCTTTTTGGTTTATACCAGCCCTGTCCAACGCGGCGCCCGCGGGTGCCATGGCGCCATTGTATATTTTTCTGGCGCCCTCCGTAACCACATATAATTGAGCCGATTTTTAATATTAATTCAAATTGTAAGACAAGAGACATTTTTGAACGTCTGAGTACTGTTAAATATTTTCAGAAAATGTCACTATTATTATTATTTTTATTATTATTACTACTACTACTATTTTTGTTTATTATTATTATTATTATTATTAGTAGTAGTAGTAGTAGTAGTAGAAGTACTAGTACTAGTAGTGTGTGGTGGCGCCCGCCCCTCCATAGGCATCAGTGAATTGTGCCCGAGAACATAAGAACGTTGGACAGCACTTTTTTATAGGATAATTGTTTATGGTATTAATATCTTCCCACTTCATGTTGTCATCAACATCATAAACACACATTCAGGTGAATTCATTCTAGTTCATCCCTTCTTGATTCAAACATTTCGTTTGAATTTTAGAAGTACTTAGACTTTCCACTTATGCGCCCATCATACTTTGCTGTTATGATTACATGTACAAGTATACAGTTTAAATGTACTGAGAATGTGCAAAGGGCAATTGTGAAATTGCTTGTTGAAGTTCAGCATCACTAACAAGCGATAAGTGAAGGATAGAAAGTGCGTTAATTTTATGTAAATGTAACCGAAATCTTTAGTTTTGTATATGAATTTATTTACACTTACTTCAAAATCTACTTACTTTTAACTCCAAGAGAGTTTGTTACGGTTTCGACAGCTCTTTTGACATGGTCTTCCTTAGTGACATCAAGGTGCAGTATGTGAAGTTGTCCTGAACTAATTGATTTCAGTTCAACAGCTCCAGGGCCCTCAGGAAACAGACAGCCCGCAAATACAGTCACTCCAAGCTTGTCCAGACGTTTTGCCAATTCATTGCCGAAGCCTGAATCACAACCTACAAAACAAACTCGTCAAAGAGCCCTGCAAAGACCCTCACGAAAATATCCTCCACACAGCCTACTTCAGTTCGGCATTGGTGAATGAGGGTATTGAGAATAATTACATGAAATTAGAATCTATAATATAAATGTTCGTTTGTTACCACCCGAAAATCTCCGAAAATTCTTCACTGATTGCTTCGAAAATTTGACACAGCGTTGCATTTGAATGCGCGCGTGTTTTTATATACCCATTATATAGATGTCACACGTGTGACAGGTAAAAATATGCGTTTTTTGAAGACCGGAATTGGAATTTGGAATTCAGAAGAGTCACCCCTTTGGAAACGCTAGAACACACCGTTGCAAAGGAGGTAACAATAGCGATACTATATCGAATCTCCATGGTTACGACGAATACACGGAACGTTCCCACAGAGACAACGGAATAACAATGGGTCGTTGCGTAGGAATCGCGGAATCAACTAAGCAGCTCATGGCTGAAGATATTTTCCGTTGAATACGCAAGGAAAATTCCAATATGAACATGGATTTCACAGCAGAAATCTGCAACGAAGCGTTGATAAAGATTGAAGATTTGTGCTTAGAAATCGCGAACAAAGTCCTCAATCAATTGGGAATGCCATCACCGAATCGATCTGCTGCTGCTTCGTTCAATGTAGAATCGCGTCGTGAGCAAAATTACAACACGGGTGAACTTTTGTCATGTGTGCAATCAAATATTCCTAAGCTAAGGCTTGAGCAAAAAGGCATTTACGATCAAATAATGCAACCTGTCAATTAAGGGGTTGCAGAATCCTTCTTCTTAGATGCGCCAGGAGGAACTTATAAAACGTTCCTAATTAGATTGATTCTGGCACCAATTCGATCCCAAAATGACATAGCCTTAGCCCTTGCGTCGTCCGGAATAGCTGCGATATTGCTACCAGGTGGAAGAGCTGCTCATTCAGCTTTGAAATTGCCATTGAACATGCAATTCATTGAAACTCCCACGTGCAAGATTTCCAAAGCATCAGGCATGGGAAGGGTATTGCAGAAATGCAAACTTATTGTTTGGGAGGAATGCACAATGACGCACAAAAAATCACTCGGGGCCCTTGATCGATCATTGCAAGATTTGCGTGGAAACATCAGGCCATTTGAGAACGCATTAATATTGCTTGCAGGAGATTTCAGGCAAACATTACCTGCAATTCCTCGATCGACACCAGCGGACGAAATAAATGCTTGCCTGAAATACTCTACTTTTTGGCGACACGTAAAGACGCTAAAATTAACTACAAATATGCGTGTCCAGCTGCAAAACGATCGGTCAGCTGAGATATTCTCATATCAATTGCTGGAAACTGGGAACGGAACGGTGCCGGTTGATCTGACCTCAGGACGAATTTCATTGCCTCATAACATCTGCAATTTAGTGACGTCAAAAGAAGAATTGGTTGAAAAAGTATTTCCCAATATTCAAACCAATTATAAGAATCACGATTGGCTGAGTGAACGAGCTACGAACTTAACAATATCATTCAGTCTAACATTCACTGCGAGGCAGTCATATACAAGTCCATCGACACTGTTGTGGAAGCAGATGAAGCGGTTTATTATCCAACATAATTTTTTAATTCACTCGATCTACCACAGAAACGTGTGGCCGGGTACAGCTAGTATACAATAAAGGTTCAGTGTGTTTCTTTATCAGCCGCAATTCTCGGCGGCGTCACTGGAATTAAGTGTTGACGATCTATGACAAAACCATAAAGGAATTCTAATATTGACTCGTATCAGTTAAAATGTCCACACGTCAAATTTTATAAACTAAATCTCATCAATTTATATAACAATCAATTCCTCGGACGTGTTGTAAATTTGGGTTTCTATTACTGTCTACGACTCTCCTTTCAAATATTTTTAACTGATGTCAATAATTAAAATCAGATCAATTTCTTTGTGAAACTGATGACTTCTGGAGATGATCCATGGTCGTGACCTCTTCCATTAAACCCTCTTCGGACACTGGACTCTGTGTGAGTCATTCTTTTGCATAGTTGTGTCATCTGTTTCGGTGGTAGTCCTCGGATCCGAAATTTTGAAATACACATATGATATTGGCTGAATTCAGTGATAAAAGAGAAAGATATTCCATCGGCTGTTTGACGCGTGTGGCCCACGGAAGAGCACAATCCGTGTAGACAATTCTAGTTCTATTTATCAGGGGAAAGCTGGGGACATGAATTGTCGAAGACCTGTCTAATGGCTTTAGGCATGGGTACATATTTCCAGACTCTGGTCAACGCACGGTGGCCTTGAGGTGACATCACAGGGCAACACTGGCTGTTCTAACTGGCCTAGTTGTTTTACTGTCAGTATGTATATAATATTGTGACATGTTGACCCCTACCTCCCCAACTGCACGTAGCGGTAACGTAGCGCTCGCGTAATAGGCGAGGATCACCCCGCAACTCTTCCCACGGTGACGTCACGAGCGGAGCCGAAGTGAGAGGAGCGGAGCCGACTTTAGCCGAGTCCCCGCAACCATGAAGCTATGCAAAGCGAGTGAACAGCGGTGACGTCTCCAAGGGGGTAACAGCGTCCTAGGCTATACGGCACGTCACACTAGCAACTGCGAACTGAATAAAAGCCGGCTGAGCAGCAAGCGAGAGCCAGTGTGTTATCAACGAGTTCTCAGTTCGCAAGTTACGAGCTACAGATGCGTGTGCGAGAATCAGTGATAGTTCGGGATAACCAGTTATATCTGGAGTGTGTAATTCAGGGAGACTTGTATAGCTCCCGCGTTATTAGTACGTGAAGACAAGTGAAGATTGTGTTAAGAGATTTTGTTGTAGGTTGTCGCGTATTGGGGGTATAACGCGACAAATAACTTCACGCCGTAATTTATATAGCGAATTTTATTTCACATTCGCACTTACAATCACCCAAATTACAGATTTACGATTACTGCTATCTGCAGTATCACAAATTGTACACTTTAAATTCCAGAATACAACTGACTGGTTGCTAGCTAACTCGGAACTAACTCGGAGGTAGCTCGAGGACTAACTCGTAGGTAGCTCCAGGACTGGCTGTGAATAGCCTTCGCTGCGCCTCATGTAGCCTCGACGGACAATTCAGAAAACGGCCACGTAATAAGCACCCTTGTTGCCTGGCGCTGTGTTGCTAGTAACGCTAGCGGTAGTAACCGCTGTTACCACCGTCGTCTCTCACAATCCTGTTTACCCGTGCTGCCCTTGGTGACGTCATCGCTGTTGACTCGCTTTGCATAGCGACCAGGATGCTAGGACTCGGCTAACTTCGGCTCACTTCGGCTTCGCTCGGCGCCGCTCGTGACGTCACCGCGGGGAGAGTTGCGGGGTGATTACTCGCCTATTACGCGAGCGCTACGTTACTGCTACGTGCAGCTCGGGAGGTAGGGGTCAACATGTCACAATGTAATATATATACATAGTTCGCTTGCGGACGAAAATCACGGAGTTTATATATATATATATTGTGACATGTTGCGCAAAGGAGAACCCCCCACCCACCAGCAGTGACGCGGCGGGTGAGTCAGCGCTCCCCTCCCCCTCCTCCGCACGGTAACGTAACGGTGACGCAACAGGATTGTTACGGTAGTAACAGCGGTTACTACCGCTAGCGTTACTAGCAACACAGCGCCAGGCAACAAGGGTGCCTATTACGTGGCCGTTTTCCGTATTGTCCGATCAAGGCTACATAAGGAGCAGCGAAGGCTATTCACAGTCAGTTGTACT